TGATAGCTTGGAAAGCGTTGAGGGCGGTACGACCGAGGATGATGTTGTAGGCAGAGGGACAGTCGACTACAAGGAAGGTGAGTAACTTGGTAGTCTGTCGTGGGTATTCGCCAATAGTGATGGGGAGGTCAATGGAGCCGATGGAGGTCACCCGGTCGCCAGTGAAACTGACCAAGGGGGTTTGGAGGGGGGACAGGCTTTCTTCCCCAATTTTGAGCTGGCGGAAGCAACTGAGGAATATGATGTCAGACGAACTACCGTTGTCGATGAGAACCCGCCTGACCTTATAGTTGGAGAGAAGGGCAGAAATGACGAGGGGGTCATCATGAGGATAACGGATGCCTGTACAATCGGCGTCCGTGAAGGTGATGGGCTCTGTCCACTTCTTGGGCTGCTTGGAAGGTCGGTCTACCGTGTCCACTGCTTTGTCCGAACCTTGCCTTATTTTCCTGAGCTCTGCTTTCTGAGCGGAGCGGGACGGTCCACCACAAGCAAGGCCACCAGAAATGACTCGGATTTCACCAACTGGCAGAGGGGGGTTACCTGGGGGCCGAGGCTGTTGTGGAAGGCGGTCATGGCCTTGGGCAGGTTGGGCTGGCTGCCGAGGTGGGGTACGTCGGCGGTTGTTTCTGAGGGGCTCGGTTCGTTGCCTCTGTTGTGGGCGGGTGTCCGTGAATCAGTTGAGACGCCATTGACGAATGAGGGTCTCGACCTGATCCTTGAGGTTGATGCAATCATCAGTGTTGTGGCCGTGGTCCTGGTGGAAGCGACAATATTTGGACTGGTCTTTCCGGTTGGAAGGGGTCCATGAAGGCAGGGGCCATTTGAGGGGGTAATCCCGTTGGATTTGGTGGAGAACTTGTTCCATAGGAGAATTGAGGGGTGTGTACCGCTCAAACCGACCGGGAGGTGGTGCTGGTGCCGACCAGTCAGTGCGAGGAGGTCAGTCGGGATATTGGGGCGTTTGGCTGTTATACTGGGTGTTTCTTGGTTCCGAGTCTTTTCTCTTTTCTCTGGGGGGCGGGTTTTTGGATATTGGATCTTGGCGAGTGGCCAGTGAATCTTCGGCATTCATATATTTCTGAGCTTTGGATAATAGGGCTGCCATAGAGGTCGGGGGGTTTTTGGAGAGGGAGAAGAGGAAATCGGATGATCGCAGCCCGGCCATGAAAGCCGTAAGGATGACCTTATCGTCATTCTCCTCTACTTGTAGGGCTTCGGTGTTGAAGCGGGTAACGAAGCTACGTAGTGACTCCCCCTCGGTCTGACGGATGTTGAGGAGTTGGGTTGCAGGACGGCGTTGGCGTTGGGCTCCAATGAAATGGCTGAGGAAGGAGTCGCTGAGATATTGGAAAGTGGAGACAGAGTCTGCTGGTAACTGACTGAACCACAGTCAGGCTGACCCCTTCAGTGTCACGGGGAAAGCCCGACACATGATCTCGTCGGGGAAGGCATGAAGGATCATGAGTGTACGATAGGTCTCCAGATGGTCGACTGGATCTGTCGTACCATCAAATGAGTCAATGGTGGGCATCTTGAATTTGACGGGCAAAGGTTTATCCCGAATGGAGGCAACAAATGGTGAATTTGCCGTGGTAGAGGGTTTATGCTGAATGTTCTGGATGACTCCTTGGAGTTGGAGCTTCATTGCTCGGAGCTCGGCGTCCCAGAGTGGAACGTGGTCCCCCTGGTCAGTCAGTAGAGGTTGGACGCTGCTGGCCTCCCCTTCAGGGGCTGGTGCTACGACCGACGGGTGTGGGGGTGGTGGTGGCAGATTTATGTGTGGGTGGGGAGGTTGCAAACCTTCCAGGTTGGGTGGATGGGGTTGGGGGGCAGTATGGCTCGGGGTTCTTTTTCGGTTAGGGGGAATATCTGGAGGTGGTGGAGGAGGAATCGGAAGGTTCCTTTGGAGTAAGGCATTTATCAAGGCCTGGTTTTGTTCGGCCATGCGGTTGATGCTATTGGTAAGCTCGATAAAGTACTGTGGTGGGTTGTTTGGATTGGGGGGGTCGTTTTGATGGTCCGTAACATTATTATGAGAAGCCATGGATCTAGTCGTGACCATGCACTTTGACGGGTAGGGGAGAGAGGTTGTTGGAACGGGGCCTCCGGCGACAGTGATCACAACTGGCACGCGGAGCAAAGCGTTCCCACAGACGGCACGTGTCTGAATGTTGTTGGTTCTTGGTGCCATATTGGATTCCAGCTGTTCCGGACTCCATCGGCAGGGTTATGCATTGGGCCCCGAATGATGGGCTCGGGTTATTTGTAGTGGTTCATGGCCTTTGTGGGCCTGTCCATGTCATATTCAATTGTATATGTTTATAAAGAGTTCATCACTTTATATAGCCCTAAATCTATGAGTGAAAAAGGAAATACAAAGATTCCTATTTACACCACAATCTCTCCTAATGCCTAATTCCTAATATGCACAATCATGCCATATATACAATATATTCTCACATATTCAAGGCTGTTCATCTTTTTGTAAATGAAATTCAGAACTTATTCACTAATGCCCTGCATGAATATTAAATAAAACTTCAAAGACCCTGAACTTGTGCCATCTCAAATCTGTTAGGAAGAAAAGAATATGATGAATTTTGGATCCTGATTTTTTTTTTCTTGTATTTTGTGACTGTCAGATATTCATGCTGTCAGCATTACCACTTCACAAGATGCGAACAGCAATTACAGCATGTTTCTCTGTATTGAAACCTGGTTGCCTACATCTACTCAGAGATTATGGTAATTTCCCAACAAAAAACATAAATGTATATGTATTCATAGGATTTTGGTTAGGACTGTTTGCTCAAAATGAAAATTTTTCTTCAAATTTTTTTACTGAATGTGTTGCATGGAAGACTTTTATCTTGCTGCAGTAATTTGAAAAAAAAGAAAAAAAAAAGTTCCCTTTTTTTTTTTGCTTGATTTTGGATGAAAATCCTGAACCCTTACAAGTGAATTTATACGAGTCAATTGTTGATATCAAAAACATTTTATGGATGGATAAGTGAAACACTGAAATTCTTTTTCAGCTTTATTTTATAGTACTATATTTGGAACTTGTTGAAATTATACGACGATGCTTCGATTTGAGCCAGACAATAAATGGATTCAAGGAGTACATAAGGTCTGATGGAACTCGTTCCTACTTTTTTTGTTTGCACAATGTGAGGGATCTCTTTGTGGGTGCGGGCTTCATTGAGGTACTAATCTTGTTTCTATCAGTTCGATGTTAACATAGCCGTGCCAACATAGGATGGTAGATTTTGGGCTTAGTTTAAGTAGCTTCTAGCAAGTTGAAAGCTGATAATTAGAAACAAATGCTAAAATTACCTCTCTCCTTGCTTCTTAGAATTAACTTTTTTCAGCTTTTTTAGGTTGTGTTTGGAGTATAGATTTGGGTAGGGATTTAAAAAGGAAAAGGAAAATGAAAAGGTAAGTGAAATGTGAATTGAATATAACCATTTCACAGACTTTTTTCCATTCTCTTTCCAAATCCCTACCAAAATCCATGCTCCAAACACAACCTTAAGTTATTTTTGTTTCATAAGTTGTAAGCAAAAGTTGCACCAAACACTCTGGTACATATTTCAAAATTTTAAAAAAACTATAAGCTACTCCATAAGCTACACCAAACAACCCTTTTATGACATTAAATTTGCCGATGAGTGAAGCTCATGCCAACTTACTGATAGAATATCACACAACTCAGACTCAGAGCAACCGAAGCAGAGTCAGCTGCAGCAACATCAGTCCCCTACAAGCAGTGCCAGCTCATCAAGTGTAACAGAATAATAACTGTATTAGTTAGTGGTTGTAACTAGCTGTAGTTATAGTATGTTGAGTTTAGAATTAGTTAGAACTAGAGTTAGATTAGATGGTTATGAATGTATATAAATATCAATGTAATCTGTCATTGAAAGAATATAATGGAAGTATAATATAGGAAATTTATATCATTCTCTGAAATTCATCATGGTATCAGAGCAGAGCCTGCTCTAACGAGCTTTAGAGATGTCATCCATGGCGTCTTCAACAGCACCACCTACTCTTCCAGCCAATCTTGGTCTCTTGATTTCTAATCTCTCTTCTTTCGTCAATGTAAAGCTTGACTCAACGAATTTCATTATCTGGAAAACACAATTACAGAATATACTCAGAGCAACTGATCTTCTTGATAATCTTGATGGTTCATCCTCATGTCCTTCTCTTTTTGTTCTTGATTCAACTGGAAAAGAGATACCTAATCCTGAATTTTCTAAATGGAAATCATCTTCTCAGCTGTGTCACTGCTACTCTCTCACCATCGATTTTCACTTCGGTTCTTCATCTCAAAACTAGCTCTGAGGTATGGCTAACTCTAAATAAGCGTTTTACCTCTCTTTCTAGATCTCATATCCACCAATTGAAGAATAAACTGAATTCGATTTCTAAGAAAACTGAGTCTATGGAACTCTACTTGAGTCATATCAAAGAATTGGTTGATCAGTTGCATCTTGCCTCAACTTCGGTTGATGATGAAGATATAGTTCTCATCACCTTGAATGGATTGCCAAGTGAATACGATGCTTTTAAAACTACTATTAGAGCTCGTTCTGAAGGGATTACTATGGATGAATTATCTTCTTTACTGTGTTCTGAAGCTTTACATATTGAAGAGAAACAAACATCTTCTTCTGAGCTTTCTCTGGCCTATGCTGCTATGAAAGATAATGTTTCTTCTTCAAAAGGTTTTTCTACATATCATCATGGCAGATCTACCTACAGAGGAGATTCTCGAGGTAATTACAGAGGGAATAGGACTGGTGGTAGATATTCTTCTTCTTCTAGAGGAAGGTATCAGTCCAAAAATCATAATCAAATTCGATCTACTTTTGGTTCAGTTTGTCAGATTTGTGGCAAGCCAAATCACTCTGCATTTGAGTGTTGGCATCGTATGGATCCTCATTTTCAGCAGTCAACTCAGTCTTCTCCACAGCATTTTCCTACTTCATCTGGCTCTAAAGCTTACACTACATCTACCTCTGAAGTTGCTTCCCAGAATTGTTCTCTTCAGCCTTGGTATCTTGACTCTGCTGCCACAGATCATATTACTAATGATCTTGGTAATCTGACTACCTATCAACCTTACACTGGTTCTGAGAAAGTCACTGTGGCTGATGGTTCTTCTCTACCTATCCATCATACTGGTTCAGGTCTTTTACCTACTCCACATCATTCTTTCAAACTCAAAAGAGTGCTTCATGTTCCTTCTCTTTCTTCTAATCTTCTTTCCATTCAGCAATTAGCCAAAGACAATAATTGTTCTGTTACATTTAATAATTCTTCCTTTTCTATTCAGGACAACAATACCAAAGCTACACTCCATAAAGGCTTCCATATGCATGGTCTTTATCGTTTTCCTTTGCATTCTTCACCACAAGCATTTCACAGCACCACTGCTTCTCCAGATTCATTCATGCTTTGGCATCAAAGGCTCGGTCATCCCTCAGCTTCCAAGTTTCAACATCTTCATAAGTTTTTGAATGTACCTTTAGGTTCCAATAAAACTTCATTTTCTTGTATTGATTGTTCTATGTCTAAGAGTCATCGGTTGCCTTTCAAATTGTCTAATTCTCATGTAAATCAACCATTAGCTCTTATTCATAGTGATGTTTGGGGTCCTTTTCATCCTGTTGGTTCTACTTCCATCTATAAATACTATGTGTTGTTTGTTGATGATTACTCTCGCTTTACTTGGCTTTATCCTTTGAGTTATAAAAGTGAGGTTTACTCTAAGTTCTTGGAATTTAAATTTTTTGTTGAAAAACAATTTGGATTTCCTCTCAAAATCCTTAGAACAGATGGTGGTGGAGAATTTATTAATCATCAAATGGACCATTTTATCAAAACAAATGGCATTTTGCATCAACAATCTTGCCCTCATACACCCTCTCAAAATGGTGTTGCTGAGCGGAAACACAGGCACATTACGGAAACTGCTATTGCTCTTCTCCATCAGTCTTCTTTACCACTCACCTATTGGTTTGATGCTATTGCCACTGCCACTTTTCTTATTAATAGGCTTCCTAGTGCTTCATTGTCTCATGCCTCTCCTTTTCAACTTTTATTTCACACTTCTCCAGATTATTCTTTGCTTAAAGTGTTTGGTTGCCTTTGCTATCCTTGGCTTCGATTTGCTTCCACTCATAAGCTACAACCTAAATCTAGCCCTTGTGTATTTTTGGGTTATCATCCATCCATTAAAGGTTACAGGTGCTTCAATTTACAAACTGGTCACACTCTTATTTCTAGACATGTTGTTTTTCATGAAACAATTTTCCCCTTTTCTACTCCATCACCTACATTTACTACACCCACTCAATCTACTCTCTCTTCCTTCTTTTGGTCTTCTTCTCCTAAGTCTGTTCCTTCCCATGCCTCCTTCACAGTCTCCTCTATTGCCGTCACAGCCTCTTCCTACACCTTTATCACCTTCCCATTCTAATCAATTGTCCACACAGCCTGTTCAGTCCTCTCAGTTGCCTCCACAGTTCCAGCAGCCTCGACTCCCGCAGCAATCTCCGCAGCATACACACCAGCTTCAGCAGTCTCAGCAGCCTCTTATTCCTATTAATTCTATTGCTATTCATTTACCTCTTCATACTCCCTCTTCTAATTCTAACACTCATAGTATGCAAACCAGATCCAAGTCTAAACTTTCTTCTTCTCTTTCTTCTTCTTCTTGTTTTCTTACTTCTAGTCCAGTTTCTTCAACTGAACCTCTTTCTTACAAATCTGCTCTTACCTCTCCTGTTTGGTTTCAAGCCATGTTAGATGAATATTCTGCCTTGTAAATGCAGCACACTTGGTCCTTGGTTCCTCTTCCACCCAATAAACAAGCCATTGGGTGTAAGTGGGTTTTTAAACTTAAGAAAAATTCTGATGGTACTGTGGCTCGGCATAAAGCCCACCTTGTTGCTAAGGGATTTCTTCAAGAACATGGCATTGATTTTCAGGATACTTTCAGTCCTGTTGCCAAACAACCCACTATACTCACTCTTTTGTGTTTGGCTTTGCACTCTAACTGGTCTTTAAAGCAATTGGACATCTCCAATGCCTTTCTCCATGGTCATTTGGAAGAGGAGGTCTATATGGTTCAACCTCCCGGCTTTGTTGATCCTTCTCACCCACAGTTCGTCTGTAAACTTCATAAGGCTTTGTATGGCCTCAAACAGGCACCTCGGGCTTGGTATTCTACATTTTCTTCCTTTCTTATATCTCAAGGCTTTGTCATGAGTCAATGTGACCACTCCTTGTTTGTTCACAAATCTTCTTCCACTATTACCTACTTGCTCATTTATGTTGATGACATACTTCTCACTGGAAATGACTCTGTTTATATTCAATCCTTGTTAACACATATGCACCAGGCTTTCTCTCTGAAAGAGTTGGGTTCCCTTTCCTATTTTCTGGGCATTTCTGTTACCTCTTCTTCCCTTGGTTTCTTTCTTTCCCAGCATAAAT